TTTTTGTTTTTAAACTTTTTTGCAAATACTGTATATACAAATATTAAATAAAGTTGTTCTAGTTCAAATATACTTTGTCGACATGGCTGTCAGAAGACAATCGTGAGTGATCAGGGCAGAAATTTTATAGCAGACATAATAAAGGAAATTGCCCTATTTATGAATACAAAATGGCAGTTGTCAACTACATATCACCCACAAACAAATGGAATGACAGAACGAGTAAACAGAACAATTTGTGAAATGCTGAGCCATTATTGTCAAGAAACAAATCGTCTTCGTTGTTCTCAAATATTACCATTGATGAACTTCGCCTACAATACTTCGACAAATCAGAGTACACAATTCTCTCCATTCTACTTGCTTTATGGAAGGGAACCAACTTTACCTATTGATTCAAAAATTAATCCAGAAAATAGAGAACTGAGACTATCAGACTATGTTGAGTTCATTAATAATGAATGGACTACAGTCAAAGAACAAACAAGAAGGAACTCTGATGAATCGAAAGAAAAGCAGAGTGAAAATTGTGAAAGAAGACGTAGGCTAAGAACTTTAGCATTGGTGACTTAGTCTTATACGAGAAATAAGTACGCTCAAATAAATTATACTCTAAATATGAAGGTCCTTACGAGATAATTGAGAAAATCGGAGAAACAACGTACTTAGTGGAGAAGGACGAACAATCCGAACCCAAAAGAGTACATGGATCCCAAATCATATTCTACGAATTCAAGAACTTCAAGATCACAAGAAGACAGATAAAACAACCAACCTAAAAATCCAACCCTTATATTTAGGTGAGTAAAAAATGTCCGATTTTCGCATCCTGATTGTTGATCAATATCCTAAAAATCAACCCATAAGATGAACATAATGAGAATTAGCGAGAAATATTACTCCAGCATTGAAGATCATTATGGCTTTTTTATTCAATTGTAATTCATTTAGTTAAAGTTTTCAGGGTAAAAATGAGGCCAGATTCGCCAAAAATTGGGTTTGTTTTAGCGAATATTAATCACATGAATAGATTCAGAAACGTCGATAATGTGACCCAGACACATCAATATTTGTGCTTATCTTATGATAACGAAGTGCTAAGTGAGCGTCAGGGCCCAAGGTGTTCTTTAAAATTTCATTGGCAATTTCGAGGACAAAGATAGTCAGGTCGGGGCCCTTGAATCTTGAAACCAGCTAATTTATCGATGCGACAAAAGACAGATTGATTTCTTCAGATATGAATAGAGTCATGGAGCTTTAGCAGTGGTCTATTACTTATTTCATCGTTATTGTACATTATAAATGTATATTATAAATTTTATTGTATAAACACGAAAATCTTTATTTTTCACATATTATAGATCACAACTTACATATTAAAAATCAACACTGATCATAATGCAATCTATGAAGTTTTCCAAAAATTGACATGTTTTGCGTACTTTTAGTTTCAGAATAATTTCATATTTGTAATTCAAATTGCTAAAGGCAACCTTTAATCAATTAAACATAAGAGGTGGCGTTTTTTGGGATTTCCGTTTTCATTCTGTGACTCAGAAACGTAAGTTTTTGTACTATTGATGGGAAGCATTCTCCAGATCCATCAATGTTTCCCAGTCCTTTTCATTCCTGTCCGTCGGTTATTCAATTAACAACAAGTGCCATCAAATCAAATTTTACTGTATAAACGTGTATATAAAGATTGTTATTCAGATGACGAATAATATTGAAATCACTTTATTTAATATTTACACAGACAAGTGAGCAGAAATAATACTTATCATTTAATTTAAACTCTAGCTCGTTTTGATAGATTTCCAGTTACTGATAGAGAAAGTTTGCCAAAGCCAGAATTATAGTCAGTGATAAGGTAAACATAGAGGCGATAAACTGTGTATTTATGGTGAAAAGGTTCGCAAAAGTGAAGCCAACATCAGTGAACAAAACTCGTCCAATGAAAATTTCATTCTGTGTATGGATATGGATATCAAAAAATATGGATAAAATGAACCTCAATGAGATATTGTAATTATTGCTAAATGATAAAACAAGTAGACACAAAAGTTAGTCAATACTTGCATCGACTGACTGACTATAGTCAACTTACAAGGGATGTCCAAGGTCTGATCAATCGATATTGAGAATTCATTGATAGCTATCGGTAGATTAGACCTTCGCTAAGACTTGTACGGTGAAATTTGCTGGCCACTTGTAGATTGCGGCGAACCTATTTTAAGTTTCCTTAACTGGGGATCTCTTTTCAAATTTTTTCATTTCGGGATGATACTTAAGGTGTTATTTGAATGTTGATCTCTTTGTTACTCCAAGGCGCGGCCG